TGCATTAGGTTTTCGGAAACTGTCGCGGTTAGCTTTAATCCAGTATTCGCAGACGATGGTAGATTTGTCACTTTCCTTATATATCTAACGACCATTAGGTAATTCCGGACCTTTGTTTGTGTTGATCAGTAATAGGACGTGTGATAATAAAATTAAATTAATTGAGTTGTTGTTGTAAATTTCCCGTGTACTAGGTGGATATGTCCCGCTTGTAATGCTTCCCTTTTAGCATAGTGTCGTGATCATCATCATTTTGTTGTTGTTCGTCGCGGTTTTTTTCAGAAATGAAGTACGTGAGTTGTACGTTCTGGGGTTCGCTGTTGCATACATGGCTTAATGCTTTATATTTTTTGTATGGCATACGTGTCAACAGTTTTTACCGACTCTTCCACAATAAGGGAAAATGGAAGCTGGCATTTCTTTTTTTGAAAAATTAGTTCTGAGAATTACTGGGTTGGAATGAGCGAGCTAATTGGGCTAAAGGAAGATGGGCAATAAGATTCAGTACGTTACCGGTTTAAATATTTTCGTTAATTATTAACCATACAAGTTTTTAGTCGTCATTGTCGAGTTTGTGGCTGGCTTTTAAGAATTATGATATACGAATAGTATAGTAGTAGAATTGAATTACGGCAATAGATTATTGATTATTAATACGTACAAAGTTTAGTTAATTGCGTATTGTGGCTGACGGGTAAACACATATGGGAGGGGTCAGAAAGTCAACAATAGAATTAAATTACGACAAACAGATTTATTAATTATTAATACACACAAGGTTTAGTCGTAATAGTAAACTGTCACTTTTGTGGCTGGCAATATACGGAACCTTGCGTGAATTGATTGTTCGTGGCATACATAATTGAAGACGATTGAGGACTTGTTATTTACTTTTTTGTAATAATTTGTTTTAATGCAACGAATAACGATTGAATGCTTGCCTTTCTAATACGCCGTCCAGACATCTTTTGTGAATTATTAATCAATGCCAGGCGTATGGGCGAATTTGGCGCAGATTATCCACTTGTGGCGCATATAGTTTCAAGCATACTGTATGGCGGGGTTGGCAAGATTATTCATTTTTGACTTGTCCGTTTTTGGCAAGCATGCTTATTAATAATTCGATTGAGCGCAGCATTTGGATGAAAGATTATAAAAAGAGATACGACACGTAGTAAAACTTGCAGAAGCGGCTGCGTTCTACGATCGTTTCGTTCTATTCAATGCATAGAAAAGAATAGAATAGCATGGAAATGAATAGCTATGCAATTCATTGAATAAGAAAACATAGCATATATAGCGTAGTATAAAATCGGGCCCGAACGATGCTGCATGACACTAACCGAATGAAGTATATGGTTGACTATTTACGGGATGCCATTACGTATGTGTTAGCCAATGATTATTAGAAGCATATGAAAAGAAATGCCACATGACTCGAAGAAGTAACGACGTCAAAATAGTAAATATTGCTAACTAGTGAGTAGCATAGGCAAAAGGGAAGCTGCCAAGCAAAAAATTTGTTTATTGAAATACTTATGTATTACAATACATTGGATTATCAATTAATATTGATGTCATATGTTAATATGATGTAATAAATAGATAATGGGGACAAATTTTTATAGAACAATTTTGCATTTTCTCTTATACTTTTCAGATAATTGAGTAAATAAGGAAATTTTTATTTTTGGGGAAATCGTTGAACAAACAATGATCATAGTCTTTGATTTTTTGTAATCACTTCTTGATCTATGTGAATTTGATTCTCTTCAAAAGCATATCAGTCTAAACTTGTTGCACGACTAAAGGCAACATAGACTCGCCCACATGCAAACATAGTGTCATCAATTGACAAGGGTACGTGGGGTAGTGTTAGTCTCTGTGTTTTGTGTACAGTGAGAGCAAATGTATTTTGGAGAGGAAATTGGGTACGAGAACATGGTATAGAATACATAAAAACGACAGAAGTCAGCGTCAGTCATAGCATCAGGAGATGAAGTTGCAGATGGTGACGGCGGTATAGTCATAAGCGTATGAGCTGTTTGTACCATGGGAATGGAGTAGGTGTTGTTTGATGATTTATAGGAGAAGTGGGTGAAGGTGGTAGTAATTGCTTCCTTATTCCTAAACAATGGTAGTGAAGTGGGAGGTATTCCCTAACTCAAATAGAAAAAGTTTGCTAGGTGAGCATGACAAGCACGGCACGGTCGATTTTTACCAATGACACGAATAAGAAGATTACAGCGAAGAAGATAAAAAAAAAATATTAAAGTTAAAGATTTTACTGAGGAAGGCGATTGAAGAGGATGTCTTGGGGAAGGAGCAGTCATGTGATATAGAATGTCTATATCGAGAAGTTCCAAAAGAACCATTGTATATCTTCTCCTATCGTAAGATATCTAGAAATAATAAACAGTCGATCACTGGTTAATTTTTTCGTGGCGTTTATTAATCTTGTATCTTCCTCTCTACTAACCCGTTCACTGTTTGTTTCACTCGTTTGGTACTAGTGACGGCATTATATTAATGATACATAGCTTGAAAGAAGTGAATGTTAGATAACTTTTTGGGTGGGCTTGCCAATGTTACTGTAATGGTTATGATTGGTGTTGATAGTAGAAGTGCGTTATCGGATCGGATAGTTGTGAGTCTAAGGTCCTATCCCCGTAGAACTGTTGTATTTATTATTGTCATGTATAGAGTTTTATTTTCGTAGATAAGCCTTCCGGTAAATTGAACAAAATAAAGTCTTACTGATAAGTTTTGCTTGCATTTAAAAAATACTGTAAGTGATATCTTGGAAGCAATCAGTTTCATATTGATAACCGGCGATTCGTTGAATTATTTGTTTGACCACGTCTTTTGTGTAAACAATGACAGAGACTGTAGCAGTGTTCTGCATTTTGCTATCGACTGAACAGCACACAGATATAATTTATATTATTCTCAAGAGATATGACAACATAACTGAGTCGTGAACTTTGATATAACAATAATAAGAAGCTTATTTTATAGGAAAAAAATAATATGTATCTTTTATTACTTACATAAAAAATGTCGAAATAACACAAACATCTGTTTATATACCCATAAGCATACAAATAATATACTATCAGTTTCACAAACTGCTGCACATACAAATCACGTCCGTTCAAGGTTAGCGGGAGTGTGTTTAATCAAATTTACATGGAACTGTTGAATTTATTAACATCATGTATAGTGTTTTGTTCTTATAGACTAACTTTCTAGTAAAGTGAACGAACCACTGGAAGTGAAAGATGATTGTAAATCAGTACTATCCTTATTTGTTTGTTCTTGAAATGTTCAATAAAACGAACATAACATCGGGAGATGACGACTAAGTAGCAGTATGCGTTTGTACCATATAATAAGTATAATAATGATGAAGTTTATAATAAATATACATTTCACTAACCAAATGACGCAAATCAACATAGTAAGCACGCAATCTGCATCGATAGAGGCAAATCGAATCTCAGCGAATAAGAATTATTTCGTCATGTGACATGCCAGATAAATGTTGTCCGATGATGGGTAAATAAGATTTCATATTTGAAAGAAAACTTTTCTTCTATAGTTCGAAGTCTATAATCGTACATAATAATAATACATACTTAGCATTTAAAAGTTAAACTTTAACTATAGCAAGGAAGAAAGAAGGCAAAAAAAGAGCAACGATTATGTATAATAAACTAAATTTCTGAACCAATCGTTCATCTGTGTGTATCGTGTAAAATATAATATCAAAGCAAATAACAATGGTTTAATAATTTCACATAATCCACATTAAATTTATACATTTACGAAACACAAATAATTGGTTAAGAAATATACGATGGGATAGCTAAAGGACATAGTAGATAGCAATAAGATGGATGTCAAGGACAATTGCTGTTTGAACGCAAGAAACTTTGGCATAATACAACAAATATCGAAAATGTTACTTCATTACGGAACGAGTGAATATCAGTGTGCAATATTAATATGAAAAGTCGATACACGGAATATTTACATTTCTATGCTTGAGCAACAATACACAGTTTTGGTATATATTTTTTATAAAAAGGAGTACAGCACGGAGGCGAAAAAAAGTAAGCCAGTGCTAGTGTTAGATCAAGAGCTAGATTTAGTTCTATTATAGAACTTGATATAAGATATATATAAAAATGGCCGGACTTTGCACTTACAAATTTAGAAATGAGGTTAGCGTAATTTCCTAAATCATGACAAATCAACAGTAGATCAATGCACCGAAAAATAAACCGAGTTTAGTTTTTATGGAAAAGGAATTTTGTCAAACGAAAGTTGCAGAACTTGTGCGCCCGATTGACCGACTAAAATTATAAGGTGTACTAACCAATAGAATTGTGATATAATTGATCAGCACATTTTGTGAGTGTATCTTCCATGCGACTATATGATCCTCGATAGGAAATTGCGATTCTCCATGTCGAGATGTTTTAATCAACTCGGTCATTCGGGATTAATTAATATGGAGAAACCTTTATTGTTGTTGCTTTTTATGCAACTGCTAAGATATTATATCAGTTAGATAAAGGGGGGGCATCTGTATTAGCTCTATTTATTTTATCAAAAAGGATAGATTTGTATATTATAACTTGGTAAAGTTTATAAATAGGGGACTTCTGATAATACTATCGTAGCCAAGACATCTGACTCTCTCTACAAGAACAACTACAAGCAATTTAATTTTATATACCTTCCGCTTTTTTTTGTATCATCTCCAGAAACAATAGCAACGATATGTTTTCTCATTTGTGTATGAAATACGTTTGCTTGTTATTTGCAATCGCGACCATAGTCGCAGAAATACCTCTAGAAGAAATGCGGAATTCGACTCTAAAACAAACATAGACTCTGTCTCTGAGTCGTCGTGCAGATGCTTTGTGTAAGAACCCTCGCTACCCTGTGTTTGGAGGCTCTTTTTGCAGAAACGAGAGGGTGATTGCTATTATATGCGAGGTTGAAAATTTTCCAAACCTTTATGATATTGTTGATGAACCATGTAAGCCAGACTCAACTTGTGTTGATTTTGTTCGCAAAAATTCGCTTCCACTCGCAGGGTGCATTGGCAATGACAACATACGGAGGTGGAATAATGGCGGTAATCGTGGCTTAATCTGCGACAAGGATGGTGCTACTTATAGAGTCACTCCAAATACAATGTATATTGGAATGACAACATATGATACCAACTCGAATCCAACAGCAGTAGATTCGATGTCTGGGTCTGTTGATGGTCTTGCACTTGGTAGAACCATTCATGAAAGTCATTTCGGTGTAGTATACAACAATTACCGGGCCGGTCAAACAATCAGAATGTGTTTCGATGCAGGCTCTCGATTCGTAACTGCTGTAGCTGCGGCTATGATTCCTGGCTCCGGCAATAACGACGAATTTACAGTACTCTTAGAATAAATTCCTTAATTCTTGACAGTTTGGGGCTACTGCCAATCTGGGTTTCTAATACTTTAGATTAGTATTTTTCCGTATCGCGTTGTAATTTTTTGATATATTAGTTCGCACATTTGGTATCTCTTTAATTAGATCATGGAAGATTTTTATCACCTGACTCGCTTTTCTTTTCTTCAACGTGTGTTATCCTTTATAGATTTGTTCGTGTGTGGTGATATTGTTGACCTCAGTTTTGGACCGAGATGCCGAAATGTTCAGTTCAGACTCTGTCTCGGTTTAGACTATATATAACTTTTATCTATAAATGACAACCTACGCTGCCAAAATCATCGGGCCTATGTTTGAACGCAACAAATTAAGACTCCCAACACATCAAGACCCGAATCACTTGCCTTAGATCTTTATCGTTCTACGGTCCTCCATCTAATAAATATAGGTGTGTGTGTGTTAATTAATAGATGTTACCAGTCTAATCAGGTGGTATTCTAGTCTAATACGCAAGCAGTCCTTCAGTCCCTGTCGTCCCACAGAGCAATAAGACTGCGGGTTGTCCTAATTGGATTGAGGAGAACTTTTTAAGAAAATTAGTAGTAGAGCCCTGATTAGTAGTATATTATTTCTTAATGATAGTAATATAACAATAAGCCGTGTCAACTGTGTGTATTATGCTTCGTAGATGGTATAATAATAAAATCTGATGGGGTAAATTTTATTAACTAGGTTAGTAAGAAACCTGCTGCGCAAGCTACACAGCTTTGCTAATGTACAGAAACCATGTTATAGCCCAACAAGGATTGAGTCATGTATTACGTTAGTTGCAAAAAATAACGAACGTCTATTTAAACTGTAATGCTTTAGTAATTATACGACATCTGGACAACTAATTGCGATGCACGACAATACTTTCATTTACATAACCTTTTAGAATGTCATGTCAGATGTAAACAGATATTCCATAGTCAATGATAATGGATATAGACGCATTATCAGACAGTAGTGAGTCAACCTTTTAGTTACAGGGATATACATTAGTAGAGATGTAATATTTCACCGACAACATTATAGGATTGATGAACTAGCCACAAACATCACGAACGCCGCCACAAGATTTGATATCATGTGATTCAGATTCGCGATTTAATGATCTTCAGCTCGCTCTCTATTGCTACTCTCCTCTATTCTCCAATACATACTGTACTCTTTCTATTAATTCATTCTTTCATATGTTTGCGGCACAGGTTGGTCACACCATAAACATATAGTCAACAACTTAGTGGACCCATACGTTTGTTACCAGCGACCACCAATTTTTTCGACAGAAAACTCAATCGGGTTAAACAGGTGCATTTCGTATGACGGACGCAAAAACTATATAATAATTTCTGATCATTACTACGTAGTGCCATTTTTGAAACAGATGATAAATTCGCGCATATACTTAACGCCCACTTTATAAGAACTTCATACATAAAGGCAAATTTTGGCATGTCTACCCAATCTTTTGGAAGACTAAAACGGTCTACTTCAAACAAACGATATGTCCCTAAGAAAATGATCAAGTAAAATTAAATTAGTAGATTCATAGGTCATTTATAATATCATTATAAATTTTCGCATGGCACATCATTACGTAAACGTCGAGTTTGGCTATACATATAATAGGTTTAGGTGACAAAAGATGATAGACACAATTATCTGAAGTTATTAGGTATATTTCACATTTTGATAATATACGTAACTGACATTAATATTTTAGCATAGCTAGTATCATATCATTAGCGTTGGGTGACTTATTACACTTTATTCGATGACGTTGTCAACACATTTACTGCAACAGTGCGTAGACTTAATATACGAATACTCAAGAATAAATATTTTATGTCGTTTAAGCATCCGCTTTCTCTAGTTCTTTGGCATTTTTTTAACAAACCAACACGTACCAGTTAAGATAATTATAAACTTTTTACTGCATAGGTAATACGTTTAACTAAAACAATATCGTTATTTAACTTTACTTGCGGTATCATACTGCTAATAATTCTGAATAACTTACCAGTATTATTTATACAGTCACAGTAATGAAAACCTCTTGCAACAATACGTCTGCTGCCTTTTATTGCATGCAACGACGCCGTACTAGGTTTTGTTAGTAAAACATAATAAAGGTAGATATAGTGAACCAGCGCGACAATAGAATTACTGTTCAAAATTTTTGTCTCGTCTTAATGTAGAGCATTTTATGTTGTCTCTGCTACTAAATAAAAAGGTTTTACGACTAATACTAAAGTATTTTTACGATAATACGTTTTGTGTAAATTGAAAATATATTGTACGCGCAGTTCGGTGGTGCAAAGACGATGGTGGTGTTTGCCATACGTACAGATTTTCTTAGCCTAAATACTAAAACACTGCATCAATCGCTCGATTTATTTGGGCAAAAAAGATAACCGATTATTATAGGGACTGCTTTTAGACCGTATTTCATACCGAATAAAAAGGCTGCATACTTTAAGCGGATGATGGGTATAAAGGACGATGTCTTTGATCTGCGATATTGAAAAAATTGGTCGAAACCAAGAAAGTTATGAATGCTATTATTGCTGCGACTAGCTAGTGTTTGTTCAGGAATTTTGAATAAATGTTTCGTCACAGTGTATGTGAATTGGTATATATATACTGTAGTTGGCACACACTTGTGTATTACAAATTTTATGCGTAGTTGGAAGCCGTTTACTTGCATCATCACAAACTGTTCAAGATATGTGGCAATATCTTGAAAAAGATTTTTAAAAAATTGATTGTTCCTCGCTCACGCAATACGCATTGACCTTAGCTACATGAATATTCAAAACTCTTCGTACTGAGCAGACTGCAAGCTTATTATATCATCAGACATGAAATGACTATTCTCCATCAACTCATTATCCGAACTTGGTATTTAAAAAGAAAGTTTTGTATACAGTGGAGTGCCAGAACACGATAATAGTGTATATAGTTATGTTTAGCATATAAGTATTGTTACCTATTACTGTACTGCTAATATCCGAGCCAGTTACAAAGCCGCGCGTATTGCGTTTTAATTACCATTTTCCGATATCCAAATAAAAGCAACTGCATTGAAAATTGAGCAAGCTAATCTTGCCCCCTTGGCCGATTGTATGGGTTATTTTTATTGTGGAAAAAAATTGGTTTGAGTATGAATGGAATGTCGGAAAGCATGCACAATTCGGTCAGTACTGAAATTTACAATGAATTGAATGCATTATGCGTTTATTCAGATTTAGCAGTATTAGTATCATAAACTTTAAACATGTACTTTAGCTTTTATTCAATAATCTATTCTTTTCGAAACGTGATAAGGGCTTTACATCTGGATAATAAATAGTCTTTCACATGTTGTCATCCTCCACCTCATCATAAAGCTCTTCAATGACTGTCTGAACCGACCATGCATCCGGACGCTTATCAGGATCAGCATCGCAACATCGCTCAGCAAGTTTCTTGTATTCCTCTGGTGCGGAATCAGGCATCGATGGTCGCAGTCCCTCACAAACACGTATCGCCAAACATTTGTCAAACGACCAATCTCTAAATGG